CATACCTCTGCAGAAGTCCGCTGAACTGTGCTGCAGACACATACCCACAGAGATGGTACAGAATGTTTTTAAATGCCTCTCTGAAGAAAAGAAACGAATGTTGTTGAAATCTAATAATGGTAAGCATTACCATTAAAGTAGTTCTGTTTGAGATTGTTTACATTACGTTATCTTTCCTTTTCTTTTCGTGTTTTCACTTGAAAACGTAGTAGACGTGAACTCGACGCAAGCGCAAGATAATGAAAAGCATCGTGAACATGAGACATTGGGACCCCACATCCCAGCGAATCAAACTGACAAGTTAATACRGCTACCCCGTTAATAGGACACTTTTCGATGTTCCTTCGGTGACCGGATTAACGAGGTTTAACTGTACCTGGATATAACTCCTTTTCCTTTAGGGTCATTGCCCTTAAATGCCTGCCTGATGCCATAGAAACTACCAGTTARCTTGCCATCTATAAGTTCGACCAGCTGAAAGACAAGGATTGTCGTTATCATCATCATCATTATTATTATTAGATACCATAAGGCCGGACATTTTGCTCTTTAGCTATAGGTTTGTCGATGTGATTGTTGCATAGTGAGCGATTGAGGCACAGGGAGCAAAAGAACGGCTACGTTTCAAGATGTCAAAGGSACAACCGTGAAGGAGATTTTTKAACCATATTTTTATCAATGTCAATTGTTCATGATGATTACATAGTTCAGACAGTTATAACAGCGGCAGATGCAGGGGTTTCATGAGGGGAGAGGGGTAGGGTRGTTCCATCTTTGTTTTGGGACTGTTTTGGGAAGCGAATAATTGAACCATTACTGAGGAGTTATCACATCGCACAAACTGTGTTACCCTATTGGCTTGGCAAATTTAGTCTCATATTTCAGATTTCGTCTACCAAGGAAGGGATGAGGGAGGATGGGGTTGGATCTGTATCCCCGGCATGGAACCGCTGTACACGCCCTATTATAATTGAATGAGGTTTTTGCGGTATCCGAAATAATCAAGGTCAACGCAACTGTAATCAAYCAACGAACGTTATCCGGCACATGATATTATAAACGTCACGTGATTTCCCATGYTCACTTTCGGCCWKTACTTTTACACTAGACAACATTTAGTCAGTCATGTGACTTTGAGATACTCAATCTCGTACCCAGCGCCCCTGTCACTCTTACWGCGCAAGCTCGACGAAATGGCTAGTCAAATCTTTTTGTCGCAGACCAAAAGTTACGCGGGCTCTGGATACGAGATTGTGAGATACKGTACCTCTTCAACAGTCTTCTTCTGTGTCAAAGTGAACAAGTTCCGTCCATCTTTTGAATCAGTGTTTTCTTGATCTTTAAAAGCGATTGTTGCAGAGAATGTATTTTCAATACAGTATTTGAAAGGGGGAAGTCGCGAAGGGAGAGGGGTCATGGACTAACCCTTGAACGACTTGGAACGACTGGGCTGATCAATGAATTTGGATTGAAGATTATCAATACTTCACAAATAATGATGATAATAATAATATAAATGATAAATTTGTATTTTATGATAATGCCGCAATATCAAGCTGTTTTGCCGAGACAAGGGTAAGTATTATTCATTAATTTGTTTATACAATGTTAGCGGCGTTCACTGACCGATATCAATCCATATGTCGTGTGATATAGTATATGGTCTGATTAAACAAAACAAACTCCCGCTGTTGTATTCCAATTATTCTATTTTCCTTCTGGTAATTAATGAAAATTTCACATTCATAAAATTACATGGTAATTCTAGGATATTAAGATTTCGCCAAAAAAATATAATATGTCGTCTTTGAACATAAACAAGCATAAATGTCCATAAGCTAGTGGTTATAAGTGTTGTTGATGTAYTCGTTTTTAACTCACCGACAGGCCACGTAGAGCCTCTTGAATGTTTTTTAGTTTTGATATGAATCAATGGATTGTTTTCAGTGCGAAGTGGYGGTAAAGAGCTCTTGATTGAGCCATCCCGCGAAGCTGWGCCATGAATTTCGATCGGGTCGCCTTTTGGCAGTCGTAAACCTGGATGTTCAATCGCTGGCAAGTTCCCGAYCCTTGAGTTTGCTCCCCTTTGAGTGGTTAACATCGCCATTAAACCATTTACGAATTCATCGTTGTCTAATACGAATTTTATAGAAGTTTATTTGAGAGTTTCTAAAGACTCGATGGTACAACAGCTTAGGTTACTATGGCAACAGAGTRGTTTAATCGATTTTCAATTAGACAAGGGTTTAAAGCGCGTCACGCAACAGAGAAAAACAATTGCGCTTATATTAATGCAATTCCGGAATAATAGAAGTTATAATAAACCCTTTTAGTGACCTCTTTTWCRCTGTSTTAGCCTCAAAACCGTATACTTTATTCTTTCAGTAACAACCTGTGCAAATGCAATAGATCTGTGAGTGTAGAAGACAATAAACCCTTTTAGCGATCTCTTTTACGCTGTGTTAGCCTCAAAACCACGTAATAAAATATTTTATTAACAACAACCCGTGCAAATGCAAGAGATCTGTGAGTATAGAAGACAATGGAAATAGTTTGAAATCTCACGAGTTTTACATGTATCTACATTTCTGAATATTTTAGCACACAATTGAGGCTAACACAGCGTAAAAGAGATCGCGAAACTCGACTATTAAAGTAATTTCTGCATATTTTTTAAATATTTTTTTTTAAAACACACGATTGAGGCTAAAACAGTGAAAACGAGATCGCAAAACTCGATTGACGAAAAATCCATATACTCTCAGATTTAATAATTTTGTCACTAAATATGAAGTTCTTGTAAATATGTAAATATGACCTACTCCTGTAATTTCAGTATTAACTGCAAAAGGACGTAAGACTTRCTTTATTTATTTGTTTCAAAAGAAACCTTAGGAAAAACGTGACAATATTTCAGATAAGCTAAAAATATCATATAATATAAGTTTGAATTTAAACACATATTGYTTGCCTCCAGTCAGCATTTGCACAACTGACTACGTCAATGATTCGTCCGAGATACGAATGGCTTCGTGCTAATCTCGTGACCCTGTCGTATGTAGTTCGGGCAGGTGTTTACGGAACTAGCACATGACGATCCAGAGAAGAGACTCATGGGAAGCAGTCGACACAATGTCGAGATTTGAACGAAGATATTTCGTAGCAAAATCGTGATCCTCTCGTKATTTAGTCGCAGGTGTTTACCCAGAATGATAGCAGAAAGTAACCTTGACCGTTGTGGAGTTCATCAACAAGGTATTCTAAGAATGACTGTAATGTATGGTTCGATCTGAGATTGATTGTATCGCAGATAAGCAATTAGTATCAAGTATGTCTAAGAATAGATGAAATCGAGGAAATGRCCGGTGGAAAGGTGCCAACATGGCCGCCGAAAGGGAATAAAATATTGGATGCTCTTTCTAGCGGCTATTTTTTGCTTTTCGTTTCTTTACAGTGGAGTTTTTAAAATGTACATTGATAAGAATAGTAGATAATATTTCAGTAGCCTGCGTGCAGCCGAAACAAAACTGTTGTTACATAGCATGTTTTGGTTCGGCTGCTGCGCGCAGGCTGTATATCGAACGTTATAACGGGAGGTGGATAACTCAACAAAAAAATTATATGGATAGATAATATTAAGGGACTGCGCAATATCTATCAAGAGGGGGGTTGAGAATCCAGAGGGGGGAAGAAGGGGGGGGGATATAATTTTATGTGCTTAAAGATGGGGGGTAACGTCTAAAATAAACTGGAACTTTAATTGGAAACTGAAAACTCAATGGTGTAAAATTCTGTGCTTTTGGAAACTTTTCAAGAAAAGCGTGYCACGATTTGCGACTACTCTGTATTCACGAATAAGAAATGCGTAATTTAAGAGCGTAATTTATTTCGTTTGTGGATGGCTAGCAGCCCTACTCAACCCTTGGACTCACCTATATTACTCGTGTCCAGGCTTACGGCCGCTGACACGAAGTAAGGTCTGCTGTGCGTGTAGTTTTTTTTGAAGGAGTTTCTGTGACGTCATAGTAACTCTAACCGTTTGGAAAATGATTATCCCTCTCCTATAACTTTTACCTTCTCTAGGAGTTACATAGACTTTTATAGTWCCAATTACTCGAGACGCTTACAATGTGGTAACGAATGTGGTYCTACTTGTCCTTACTCTGACGTTTGCGCATGTGCATCTCTCGCTGTCACCCAGAATTGTCACCAACCCTCGTTGAGGTGTAATAATACCGTTTGGGCACGAGTAATTACTTGGAACAAGTATCTTGTTTGTATACCGATCAAGCGTTAATTGAGACTGAATGTTTAATATATATACAACCTCGTTCCCAGGCCCTTTATCCCTTCGMTTGGGGTCAGCCGAAGGGATAAAGGGCCTGGGAACGAGRTTGGTATATATATTGATACATTTTMGTCAATTTTTTCTGTTAAGAGGAAAAATGGTGAAGGAAGGGGAGAAAACTGGAAGGAATCACAATTTTCGGAGTGACAGCAATTCATTTTTACCGACAGACGTCTTTATCCGTTACGGTCAAACTGACGGAAATCACATTTAGATGATGGACATTAAGGAAGAACTTTTTGTCTTGAGTTTCCGCCTCAAAAAGTCTGATACAAAGCTCAAATGAGTAGTGAGCAAACACGTCTGTAACCAATAGTGAATCGGGTTCAACGCAGGCTGAAAGTACGCGGCGGGCTCGGTACAAGATTGCGATCGCTGGTCAGGAAAGTAACGAAAGGATCAGAAATTAAGAAAGACCAACTAAACAGGTCCTAATTTATTTATCATCTTCCCTACCAATGTTACCAAGATTATCAGCAGAAAACCCCTTCATGCTAATAGTCCAACTTCGATACTTTGGATGAATGGTCACACACAAAAGAACTCAATGAGGATGACGAGGCTCGCATTTTCTTTTGTGCGTGGTGAATCAACCAGAATATCGAAAGYCGGCTATTACATGCGAAATTCCTCCAAACACAGGGGTGGGGTGGTGGTGATTTGGGTGGAGTTAAATAGTTAGTTACACTCCCCTCCAAGTAAAGAAATTTATGCTATGGTGACCCCCTAACCTAACTAAATAAAAAATAATAATTATAGACTTTATAATTTTATGGTTTTTAAAACAGAATATATGCACCTTGCTTCAAAGCAGCAAAACTGTCTGAAGCCATGAATTCACAAAAGGCTTATCATATAATCCCCGAAGTTGTTTTTAAAGCATGGCTTCAAACCGTCTTAGCAGGATTCAAAATATCAAATAGCCCTATGATAGTTGTATCCTTGCTGTAAATTTGACTAAGGCATGTTGCATGCGATGGTTGTATTCTTCCTTTTYATGTTACGTCATAGCGGCCATCTTGGAGGAACTTCAACCAAGCATTTCTCATTATGGCAGAAAGGATTAAAATTATTACAGTATTATCATTATACTAAATTAAGTTGCCTCCTCTTTCAAAGCCACAAGTTTAGGCTACCCCCCTGGATTCTCTACCCCTCTCCCTAGTAGGGTGGTGACTCTAGTAGCCCTCAGACCCCCTGAGTGAAACCRCCACTAAACAACAGGCCGGATATTCGTCTGAAAATCATCAATGTTTGCTGGAAATATATCATGATATAATAAATGGGTTCTATAAATTCGAAGAATGCCTCGTAATAATGTGAATATAGGATAAACTCTGGACGGAACGTTTTCGTCTTTGATGGACTGACACTGATGACGTTGGCAGAACTGACAAAACGCTTTACAAAAGACTTTTGACTAACGTTCAAACAAAGAATTACGTCTCATTGAAAAACATACAAAAAAGGTTACTTGATTATAAAATAAACATTAAAAACGACGAGAAATCATTGAATATACTTATTAAAGATACCTTTTCGAACAATTATACCGTAACAATCAATTTCGGGCACTATAAATACAAGGCTCAACAACAGCTGCAAAATTAGCTGCATATGCCATATTCGGTTGTCTGGTCCGCACTATTGTAATTGTCCATATCATTTTCGCCCTCCTACGCACAGTACAAGAAAGGGCTTTGAAATTCTTAAGTCAAATTCTAGACAATCCTACATGCTTGTCATACCAATCATGACCTTGATTTTGAGCGCAACGCACGATTTGCACAGGACGGGAATAGTTCAAACTTAATTCTGGAAGAAATACTAAATTGCTTTACCGTTTAATKAGCTCAGGGAGTTTTTAATGMCTTTTTTTACCAACTGTCTTTTATAACTAGCAATGTTTTTAATGGTAGCTCGGTCTCAATGGCAAATATTATCTTGAGCATTCATGCCGCTTAAAATAGCAACAAAAAATGCCGCATGTTTAACTTTGTACGAAAAAGTCCTCAGATAACTTCAAGAGCACATTTGGTGTTTATTTATGAAACAAAAAAAAAAACTTTCACATTTGGAAACTTTCAGTTATAATGTTATCATAATTGATAAAACATAAAATTTGAATTTAAATTCAATTGTAGGTTRTTTTCTTTGTTCACAAACAGAAGGCTTAGAAAGCGCACCTCAGCTGTTTTGTGCATTTGCATATTATCATTGTTCTACCTTCGTCTGCTCTGCTCAAAAATCGTGTTTAATCTTATCACGAGTAGTTTATCTTTTAGTTCTGTATATTCTAAACAGTTTTGCTAAGATGACTCATAAATACGAAGTAAGAACAGTCAGAAACCCTCGAGCTATCCACGTGCGCTCAATTTATGAATGGAGCAACATGCTAAGTGAAAATACAAAAATTAGATACTGCAGAAAAATGTTTTCGTTTCCGCTGTTTTGAAGAAAATGCATTTAGATTAAAACTGGACTTACTTACACTTTCAAGGAGTGTGAATTATTCAGTTTTTTTCATGATATTTTCATGGTGTTCAATTAAGTGTGTTATTAACGGTTGAATGGAGGTTGTCAAGTGCCAAGGACCTTTTTAAAATTCATTAAATTTGCCACGTTTTCAAGGAAAAAAGACTATTTCCTTTAAGCTGGTCTACGTGCATTGCCTGTTCAAAACACTTCACCATAGAGAAAATMTTCCATCCGTATTTGGCCGGTGTTTATTCTTCGAGTCTGTAAAATCTTTTTCTCTCTAAAAAGTGACAAAATTGTAATATTTTCTATATGTTTAGTTAGGTGCTTTTGAACGAGCCAATCAGATTCCWCCATTTGACAAATATGTTTGGAATGACGTGTGTATAAATTATTCCAAATTGGGCAAAGACCTGTCAACTTAGTAAGGAGAATTTACTATACAATCACTAAATATATCTCAATATGTCTCCGAAATTGAAGACTACAATGCCAATTAGCTTTATTTTCTAATGAATAAGAGCTYCTTAGGAGATTTGTAATAGAATAGTCTAGATTTAAGTAGTGAAATGTCAAAATACCCGTCGTGGCAGCTCTCCGTATAAGGCAATGTGTACCGAATTTTTCAAATTCCCCTCAGGTCAAGAGAGCAGTAATGTCAATTCGGAGTACCCCCCTCTAGTAGGGCGCGCCTGGCATAGTTTGTCTCATTCCTCGCATACTTTATTCGCTTGTCGTTTGTATGCAGTGCTTAGCTTTACCTCAAATCAGCCACTGTTGTGACTCATTTGACGAATTAGGTTACACAAGCCGATAACGTTCTCAATTCTCAACAGCAAACTGCAATTGTTCAGCGCTTCTCTACTTTTACACCGTGGCTTCTGGGAATTTTTCTCAAGTCGTCTGCAAAGCGCCAAAAAATAAGACATTGTAGGACAGAGTTTGAATCGTTCAAATTTTTAGCATTTTTCTTGAGCCGTTCTTCCGGATTGCTAGATTGTGGTAGCAAAACTCAACTCATAACTGGGTCTAGCGTAAGTTCCTCTGGCCGCAAAGGAGTATACAAGTTTTTAGTTAGTTAAGTTGTCCAAGTAAAACCGCCAAAATTTCGGACCACGAAGACGAGATGACAAATTCCTCGGACGAGGGCAAAGCAAAAAGCCCAGTTGATATGGCCAGCGATGCTGAAGGAGTTTGGTCTCCAGATATTGAGCAGTCTTTCCAAGAAGCCCTGGCGATTTACCCTCCATGTGGAAGRCGAAAAATAATCCTTTCTGATGAAGGCAAGATGTACGGTGAGTCAAAATTCTCATTTACGATTTTCAAATTCTTGTGGCGTTCTTGAGTTGTGATTCTTTGCCTTGCAAACGTGGCCAGCGGGCACATAACGTTGAATTTTCTTTATCTTGTGTTATGTTAAGTATTTTGGAAGTCATTCTTTGGGCTTCTTTGATAAGTCGTAATGTTTGAACTGCTGTTTGACCTGAAATCATCCAAAAGAACAGTTGATCGCGGCGAAGTGATCATTATATTAGACAGCCCACATTACAGCCCCTCTCGCGCTCAGAACCTGTTGAACATTCGAAGCTATAGCGCCGTGCTAACGGGCTAKTTGATGGTTCCTTTTGTGAGAAGGTTCAAAGCAAATGGTTGCGTGTGCTTTGAAGTAAGGCTTTCCGCATTCAATAGTGCTAAATTATGCGAGACTTGCAAGGAACCGTTCGAAATATGCCCGCTATGCTACTAAACATTGCCCTTCATACCACACATCAATGTTGTGGCTTAAAATGATAGCCATTCTTAATCAACCATTGTTTAGAAGGTTAAATTTATGCTGTTTATCGTGTTTGTTTTTGTGAAATATTCGAGTTCGAGCGTGCATTAAGTTAAATCGCAAATGGGTCCTAACACATCGAAAATACTACAACCTTCTCAAACTGTTGACGTTTTTAAAACTGTTTTTAATAAGTTTACCACTGTTAAAGCTCTGCTATTATTGAATTTGGAGTATAATAGGTTAGGGTTGTGATTATAACATTTTTACGATTTTCATTGTCTAACATGTGGTTCATGCGGATTGATTTCTTGGTCAAATGACTTCAACTGCGTTATGGATTATTGTGTGGAACTTCTACTCAAATTACCTTGAAATACTCCTATTCCTCAAAAGCAGTTACATAATTACCACAGTTTTAACACTATTTTCAAGGTTTTTTGCCAGCTTTTTGGTGCCTAAAAGTCCAAATGAATTGCCTTCTTGTCACTTTGATGTCGGGTTTTGAATTTACATAATCTATCTTAGGGGTTAAATAAAATTTGGTAATGTGTCCCATACTCGGCGATATCTCGTTGCCTGGAAACACTTCTTTATGGTCTTCCTATAAAAGGGGAATTCTAACTTAGGAATATGTATCACAAATACCAAGAAAACATGCTCAATTTAAGTGCTTTTCTACATGTAAAAACCATGTTTAGAACATATAGCACAAACCTTATTGTTGCGTTTTAATTGTTTATACCTTTCATAAATTATAACTGGCTTCTAACRTGAAAATAAAATCAACTGTCTTTTCAGCATTTTTTGCATAGTTTGAAAGACTTCTTACTGTAAGAATATTATTTCTAACAATAATATCAAATCTTTTCTTTGAAATATAGTGTTAATGCTTCAAATCAGAAACTCAGTATTATAAATCCCCTTTTCTATTCCAAGTTAAATCTCAAAGYTTTACAGTGCTTATTGTGAAATATTCTTTTTAAATCAGAATTTTTGGCTTCTGTTACCAGATGTGAGGCTTTTAGATGTATTTTTGAAGTCTTTTGGTATCCTTTGTCTTCTAGCTTTGATTAAATTATCATGGATGCCCCATTGCCAAGCAACTGAAAGTTCCTCAGAAGTATACAGTTAAACTTTACTGTCAATGTTTCTAAAGGATTAGCTAATTTCTTAATGTGAGCAATTAAACAAATTTGTTTGTGAGTTGGCAAAAATTGAAAGATCTTTTTGAGTTCTTGTCATAATGCAATTCTTGAAATTCTTAATTCATAGTCTGAATTCTTAGTTTTTCATTTAAATGTTCAAAAGTTAAAACTGTTGCTTAGCTCATAGAAATAAAAAGCAGTGGAAACATTTACCAGAAAATTTTAACTTTGTGTGAATTATCACAATAACTAACCAAACCAAATTTTTAATATATAAAGTATGTTTTGTTAAATGAAGGGCACTACATTTTGTTTTACAAAATTAAGAATCTCTTTTTCACGATCAAGGAAAAAAAGGTACCAACTTTAAGATTAAAGGCTTACTTGCATCCAAGAACCTGTGTYTGTTTGTTTTGTTTCACAAATGAACTCTTGTGAAAGTCACTTTSTGATTGGTTAGCAATCAAAGATGCTAAATTTTTGTAGGTGAGAAAAYTGTGCAAATGTTTTTYGGAAGCATGTGGGCTTTAAATGGTTTGTCTTCACCGAGAAATTTCAGACCTTGGTCTTGACTTGAATCTTTCTTYTTGTGGGAAAATAAATGTGTGCATTGTCCACCAAGAATCATACAGTATTTGGTCACATATCTGCCTCCATAGACCAATCTCTTCTTTGCGTATATTAACCCGTCAAACAGTGAGCAGTTTTCCCAGTGGAATAAAACTGTCAGTCAGAACAACAAACACAATCAGAGATTTTTCCTGACTTCATTAACTTTTCCTGATAAAAGTATTAAAAAYATATAACACAAGGCAAGTAACTACATATTCGGTAATCAGTATCTTTTCCATGCTCTACATCAAAGGAATATTTTCATACATGTATGTTGAATAACAGTGACTAGGGAGGTTGGACAATGAATAAAATCAGTCAATTGTAGGGTAGTGTAATTTGAGCTTTTTGAAAAATTCACCCAAACAAATTATTTCAATGAACAYGAAATCAAATGATTTYCTCTTCACAAATTTTTAAAGAACAGGTCAGCTTGAATAAATATTGTTTTTGCATCAGTACATGTGGTTAATGGCTCTACTTACAGAGTATACATGTACGTRTCCAGCTAGTTTTGATGGCATTTAAAATGAAAAATCCTGCTTTTTTACCATATATATTGATTACAATGTCATTTAAATTATTTTGTTTTCTTGATTATTTTTTGGTAATTATTATATCCAAATTGCTGAATAACTGCCTGATTAATGCATTTTATAAACCACGCAAATGATTGGTTTCTCAACCAATCAGAAGCAAGTACATGTAATTATTTTCATACTATAATTGATGTTGCCATGAAAATTTGGCCTTTTTTGTTTCTGTGGAAACTTGTCTGACCATGCCCACACTATCTCTTTAACTACGTAATCCTTTGCACAAAATTATGTGAATACAATCCCACCAGAATTTCACTCAAGATAGAACTTAAAAAAAGTTGTAAAATGAATAGCCAAAAGGAAGAAACTCTTGAAACTAAAAGAGAATGCATTAGTAGAGCTGTCTGCCCARTATGAGAAAGGGTTCATGAAACTAATGATACCTTAATATTAATGTCTAAATCATGTGACTTTGGCAAAATTTCTAAATAATGTTAATTGTAAAACATAGAACAGTATATGGCTCAATTAGGTAATGTATCTCGCTTTCTTTTACTATTGGGAGATGGAAAAGCTTATTTTCAGACAGTGTCTGGTGCATATAGACCTTGAAAACAACAAAAATAGTCAATTGTGATTTACTTTATGATGTCCACTTAATGCCAGCTAAGGGGAGAGTATGACTTCAGTGTTTTTTACAACAATTATATGGCCAAAAAAAAGGTTTTAAAGAGCTGTCTATACCAAGAGCTTTCTGGTTCTTATGCCAGATAGATTCAAGTTTAAAAGGCCAACCCTGTTGCAGTTTACCTAGAAATAATGTAAAGCAACACTCTTACAGCTTAAACCARAAAGTTATCCTGAAAAAAGTTCTAAAGATTTAGCAGAACCAGCATTATAATGGATTGGAATTTATATTTTAATGTCAGTAGTTTTATGCCAATGAGATGGTATTGCACAAAATCTAATATGATGCACTAAATAATGTTTCCTGTAGGTCGCAATGAACTGATTGCACGCTATATCAAGTTAAGAACAGGGAAAACAAGGACAAGAAAACAGGTGAGTCAAAAGGATGGATTTTACATATTGTAAATTATCTAGTAAACACTGTGGGCGTTKATTAAATTTCAATGGTCAAAGGGGGGCGTTTAATAGACAGGAGGTGTTTATTAGAGTGAGGCGTTTATTCTAAAATAATGCAATGCAATATACTGCATGATATGATTTCTAACTTCTACTTTAAAAAGAAAAAGGGAAGTAGGCCTTGTAGCTCCTTGGCGTTACACTGCTAGAACAAAACACAAAAAAATTGCTGATACCAAGCAATGAAATCAGAAGAATTAAAATACACTATCCTCATTGAACAAAACGTTACTCACTTATCAGTGTTAATGAAGCAAGAAGACAATTAAATTTATTTATGTTATTGGTCGTTTGTTTCTAGTGATGGATGGTGGCACGATTGGGAGGGGGGCGTTTAATTGAAAGGGGGCATTTGTTAGAGAGGGGCGTTTAGTTCAAACTTGTAAGCATAGGGGGGGCGTTAATTAGATAGAAGGCGTTTGTTAGAAAGGGGGCCTTTTTTAGATCATTTACAGTATTAATAATTTTAGCTAAAAAGGATCGTCGTCAACGGCTTTCTTTTAGGCTGTTTTTAAAAGAATATCTATTTACTTTGAGAAGGAGGTGACTTCAAAATATCCATTCACCAAACCTTTTTCTTTTGATGTTGTAAGATTGAATCTTACAATATCTCTATAATAAAATAGATTGATGCTGTAAGATTGAAACTTACAATATCTCTATACTAAAATAGATTGATGCTGTAAGATTGAATCTTACAATATCTCTATAATAAAATAGTAAATTTTTTCGTATGTTATGATGTGTCTTTACTTTCAAACATAAAAAAAGCTTGTAAGGGAATGCTGGCTGACCAGGTCCCTGTAAATTTACAATTGTAATGATTTCTATATTGTGTACTTTCAATTGATAATTGTTACATTATATAATACATGTATGTATACTTTCTGTAACTTGAAAGAAAGGTGCTAAAAAAAGCCTGATAGCATGATACATTTGTACTCTGAAGAAAACCTTTATTAAAACAGTCCTTCTGGGGCTGATTGTGAGTTGTCCATTGACACCTCAGGTATCCAGTCACTTGCAAGTGTTAGCAAGAAAAAAGGCCAGAGAAATACAAGGGAAGATTAAGGTTTGTCTCATTTTCCTTTTAAATAACCTCTTTAGGTTTCAAGTCATATACAAGTGTTAGCAAGGAAAACTGCAAAGGATATCCAAGGAAAGTTTAAGGTTGGTTGGTTGGCTGGTTTTATAAAGGAAAGCCCTACCTTAGTGAATCTGGAAGCATTTTTCAGCTTGGAAATAAGGCAACATACTTRAAGCAACTCTAAAAAATTATTCTTAACTTCTGCAGAGTCTCTCTTGCCTTTTTTTGTGAGACTTTGCTTGCAGGAACCATCTTTTAATTCTTCTTATTCTTAAAGTTAGTTTGATTAACAAGTACATGCAACAGCATGAAGTCTTTTATCTTTGAACTTTTCACGTGATGAATATTTCTTTAGTTTTTGACATTTGTTTATCAAATGCTTATGAAATAGATAATTATTATATTTTAAACATTGTATACGGCTGTCACTGAATCTAAATTAGGGCTATTGATAGATGATTGGCTACTTATAGCTCAGACTTTTTAAAAAGAAAATATTGAGAAWTGAGTATAAAATTATAAGCTTAGTTTTAATTGTCTTGTAGGACCAAGCTGCCCGCGATAAAGCACTTCAGACAATGGCTTCCATGTCATCTGCTCARATCGTTTCAGCCTCTGTCATCCACAGCAAGAACCTGTCAGGGGCATCAAACTTTTCAAGCCAGGAAAACCAACAACCGTCCTACCAGGTAATTAATAAATTGGATCCTTTCAAACGCTTATATTATTTCATTAAACTCCCTGCATTTGAATGACTTGGCTTGTTTCCAAAAGTTAGCCAAAAGAGGAACTGGTTTTAGGGGGGTGGGGTTAGGGTGRTATTGAATGGTGCCAACCACCCCATAGACCAAAAAAGAAAAAAAAGAGAAATCTAAATTTCCCAACTCTTTGTGTTGAGTTACTTATATGCCTTGGTACTACCAAAATATTCATGTGTGTAAATTATCAGTGAAAAAAATAATCCTGATTTCTACATTTTCATGTTTTGTTTTCTACATTAGTACTGGCAACAGCCAGGATCCAATCAGCAGCCAGKTAACTATRCACCTGTCAATCATTCCCCATATGGAAGTCCAATACAGCAAGGTGGCAATGTAGTATCCACGACAACATCATGTAGCTCTGAAGGGGCTGTCGTCAGCACACAAGATGGTTTGGTGGTAAGTGCTTTATAATTAAAACATAGTTGGCCTCCTTCTTRGGCAGCTTCTGTTGTCATTTTGGTTGGACTGCCTGTGTAACACAGATGGCCCAGGAAAAGAGAAAATAAAAGTGAGAAAAGCATGGCGTGTTCTGAATATTCACTTAATGGTCTCCATTATACAGTCTTACTTGTAGAAACAAACCTACATTAACAGTACTGTGGATACWAAGAGAATTTTTTTGGACACATTTTCATAGAAATTATCCACTCTAAAAAGAACCATTAGAAGATAGAAAACATGMGTCATATACTTTCTTTGTTTGATGAAGTTTTGAGTAAAGACGCGTCATTCTTCYTCTGTGCCCAATTTTTCAGTGATAATTCCTTACTTTGAAAAGACATCAAATGTGGGGAAAAAAGCTTAAAACTTAGTCTGTTCTAATGAGTTGTTGGTTTATTTTACAGCGTAGTACAACATATGGAGACACAAGAACTGGAGTGAACAGTCCACCTGCTGGTGTTGCATCATGGTCAGGAAGCAGAAGGCCTTCACAAATGGTAAATTACTCAATAATAATTGAGTATTTTAAACTCTTATTACAATAGAGACCTTCCATGATAATGAGTATSTCCACTTCAGGGAGTTATTTCCAGTCATTTCTTTTGAGCAGACATTTATATAAGAGTTCAATTTTGCTAGTCCTTTTGAACTCCTTCTATAGTTCTTACAGACCATTGGGTAATTTGACTTTTGCTCAGAGTTAAAACAACAGTTTTTTGTTTTGTTTTTAGCCTCTTCGTTTGCTGGAGTTCTCAGCATTTCTAGAACAGCAGACCGTTGATCCAGAAACRGTGAGTAAACTGTGTTTTATWACCAGTAGCACAATTCAATGATGTTTTGATTGGGATGATATGGCTTATTGAGACACAGTTGTGTAAAAAGATAAATTTATAACACTGTAAAAAAAATAGATGAAACAACTTACTTATGTTTCGGGCATTAATCCTTCGTCGGATACAACACATTCTGATATCAAGAAACAAGTTTTTATTATTCAATTGGAATAGCTTGTTATTAATACATTCTCATTGGAACAGTGTAATTAAGAATTTCTGAACTTCTTGAACCTCAAATGGCAAGCTATTTATGATTTCAAGTATTMAAATACTCTTTGTTTATTTTTTTGTTTTGTTTTGCAGTACCATAAACACCTGTTTGTACACCTTGGACCAAATACTAACTTTACCGACCCACTACTGGAGGTATGCTATACCATTCTATATAACTGTACAGTACTAAACAATCCCTCAATCCTAGTCTCAATACTCTTCAGTATGTATTCGATTACTAATTTTAAGACAGATTTACGTGGTACGATTGTTGTGTACGACTTGCGGTATACGATTTTTCTACTACAAGTCGTGTGTTGCGTACGACTGTTGTGGGCAAATCGTAGGAGCATTTACACGGTGTGATTTGGAGCTCATTCGAGTCGTGTACTAAAAGTTGCACGCAGCAATCGTACCGTACAAATCGGCCTAAAGTAGCAGTTTATTCRTCTATACTTAGCTTTTCTCCCATTTCGTACACAGAACTTTTCACTGTGAAAAATGTAACCAATGCAAACGAAAAGAAACAGTCAACTGCTAGCAGTAAAAAACATCATTCTCATTGCATTATTATTATTATTTTTTTTCAGGCAGTAGACATTAGACAAATATATGACAAATTCCCTGAGAAGAAGGGAGGACTAAAGGAGCTTTACAGTAAAGGACCACAGTCAGTTTTCTTCTTGGTGAAGTTTTGGGTAAGACAAAGTAATTCGTTTTGGGTATGAGAAGTTATTTTGTGACAGAAGGCCTTAAGGTGCAACYTTACCTAGTGAACTAATCCGGTAATGGGTCATGTTGTCCGTTTTTACATGTCGTCGTGACGTCTTGTAGTCRTTTACCATATTTATTTGTTTGTTTATATTAATTATCTACTCGTTTTATTATGTTACCATTGCCTGTCATTGTTCTCTAGGCCAGCCACCGCTGGCTGCCCCATTTCCGGATTAGCTCACTAGTGGCAATTAATTTATTTTATTTAAASACTATCGGTCGAGCATGCTATGATAATTGCACTGTTTAAACATTAATTGTCATAATTCATTCTTTTAGGCTGATCTTAACACAAGCATCCAGGATGAAGCTGGCGCGTTTTATGGAGTTTCAAGCACGTAAGTTGATCTTATTTGATTTAAATAGAATGACATTCTTCACATTATTTGGAAAGTGGGAAGCAATTATTCCGAAATTAAAGTCAAAAATTGAAGTTAAATTAAGCAATTTCTAAATTTCTCACCTTCCCCTTGCTCACAACGAATATTGTGGATAACTCTTAATCATGATAATCCAAAATAACTTATGCAGTACAATTGACACATGTGAGATGCGACGTACTGCTTTATTGCCATGTCTTCTACACTGTTTCAGTCGCAGACTCGACTTAAGTCGTATATGATTCAACACTGTCGAAATTAATGGATTTATACGACGCAGATCACATCCATCGAATTCGTGAATTTTATTTGTCACATGATAATTTCGGCGTGTACCCTKACCTTATCCACTACCATTTATTTGTAGGTAAATATGCTAGTGGTAATTAAAATCCACCTGTGCAGTCAACCTTTCGTGTATTTCGATTATTCCTCAGCTTTGCGACAAAAACTTTAATCTTAAACTAGGGGAGGAAACTAACTCGTTGTATTTGCCATTAGGTATGAATCAAGTGAAAATATGACGATTACWTGCTCAACGAAAGTGTGCTCCTTTGGAAAACAAGTTGTTGAAAAAGTTGAGGTAGGTACAGAGTGGATAGCCTGCATGCAGCTTAACAGAATTAGAAGTGGAGAATGTATGCCATTTCTCAAAACGACTCTTTCCTCTTGTGACGTCATATGACGTCATACGGTTTTCTCGATATGCATGATGGGATTGGCCAAAGCGGCAGCTTAAGTCTTGGCATAGTTAATAACTATGGTCTTGGTCAATAAGCTTGAATAATTAACTAATTACACAGTTTGTGCTACTCCTTGTGATACTTCAAAAGACCTGGAATTGGAAGCTTGTTTTCAAGGGCACTCGAAAAGGTCTTGACAATTAAAATAAATTTAATGCTAAACCCTACTGGATTATGATCATTCCTTTGTTTTCTTTTGTTTAAAGAATCATAACCACCCGATGTACCTTGCGAGCCGAAGCGCCATTTTAGATTGACACGAAAATGGCGGATTTGTAGGATTTCTTAAAGTGAGCGCAAATCGTCTTCCGTCCTTTCAGTTTGGACAGAAATACCTTGAACTAAGTACCTCACAGGTACTATCAATCTATAATTTATTGTATGCTTGACTCATTTAAACGTATGTAAACAATAATACGAGCGCGCAAGGTACGACGGGTGGTTATGATTCTTTAATCATTGCGCTAATTGGTTAATACTCGTGCCCAGGACTACAGCCGCTGGAAAAAGACTATTCCACTCCTATAACTTTTACTTCTTTAGAGTTACCTTAGACTTTTATAGTATCAATTATTTGAGACGCTTACAATGTGGTAATGAACAAATGTAGTCCTAATTGTCCTTACTCTGACGTTTGCGCATGTCCAGCTCTCGCTATCACCCAGAATTGTTACCAATCTCTTGAAGTTAAAATAGTTCCGTTTGGGCACGTGTTATCACTTGGAAGAAGTATCTTGAGTACTT